ACCACTGACAGGTGTGCTCAGTAGAGGCGACCTGGTCTCGGGGTACTACAAGTCCATCCCCACCATCAGGGGCCCTGGTGAACAAGTACCCTGGGGCTTAGACTCCGCGCTCTGGGCACGCCTGACCAGTGGAGTGCTAGTGGTGCCGCTCGGCGGTCCCTCACAGTACCAGAAGGCCATGACTGAGCCTCGAGGAGGGCCCTTCCCGTTGGACGAGGTTTGCAGGCACCTGGCTACCCTGACGCAAGCAGTAAACACCTTACAGGACAGATGTCTGCAGATCGAGAATCGGTTTCAGGCCTGCACCATATCTGTTCCTGTTTCACAGGCCCCGGCTCCTGCACCACCGGTCGCAGCAGCCCACGAGCCGGCTCCTGGGCCTTCCACATCACTCCCTATGGCGGAACCCCGAGTACCCTTACCCGAGCGCTTCCACGGGGATCGCACACGCTTTCGGTCCCCCAGGTCCTCCTGTGCTCTGAAGGGGATGACAGTCTAAAACAAGTGATTCCTGCAGCCTATCATAAGTTTCTTGATGTGTTCAGTGAACGGGGAGCAGATGCTCTACCCCCCCACACCGCCCATATGACTGTCCTATTGATCTGTTACCCGGTTCTGAAATTCCGTTCGGGCGAATTTTTCCCCTTTCTGAGCTAGAATTAGGGGCCCTGAAGGACTATATTGAGGACAGCCTCCGAAAGGGATTCATCCGCCCCTCCACTTCCCCAGCAGGTGCAGGGATCTTCTTTGTAGAAAAGAAGGACAAGACTTTGAGGCCATGTATTGACTATCGGGAGCTGAATAGGGTCACAATTAAAAATCGTTACCCATTACCACTGGTACCTGAATTATTCCAGAGCTTAAAAGCTGCAGTAGTATTTACCAAGCTGGACTTAAGGGGAGCCTACAATTTGGTTCGCATAAGGGAGGGGGATGAGTGGAAGACGGCCTTCCGCACCCGTTTCGGCCATTTCGAATACCTGGTCATGCCTTTCGGGTTGTGCAATGCGCCAGCCACCTTCCAGCACTTTGTAAACGACATCTTTAGGGACTTCCTGGACATCTTTGTCATCGTCTACTTAGACGACATTTTGATTTTCTCATCCTCCCTGGGGGAGCACAGGGTACATGTAACAAAGGTGTTGGGGCGGTTGCGGCAGCACGGGTTGTACGCTAAAGCAGAGAAATGCTGCTTTGAACAGGCTAGCGTTACATTTCTGGGTCTGATTATCTCCACCACGGGGGTCGCAATGGACCCTCAGAAGGTCTCTGCGATCCTAGATTGGCCTGAACCCACGGACAGGAAAAGCGTCCAACGTTTTATTGGGTTCGCAAACTTCTACCGGAAGTTCATCAAGAACTTCTCGGGTCTGGTCTCCCCCATCACTCAGTTAACCAAGCTTGGGACGCGATTCAGATGGACGCCAGAGGCACAGGAAGCTTTTGAAGCACTAAAAAAGTTATTTACCTCGGCACCCATTCTGGGTCATCCCGACGCCTCCCTGCCCTACATCTTAGAAGTAGATGCGTCAGAAAACGCGTTTTTGGCTCCATCCTTTCCCAGCGGAAGGGCGCCAAGGAATTACTTCACCCAGTAGCATTCTTCTCACGGAAACTTACCCCTGCGGAGAGGAATTACGACATTGGGGATCGCGCGAACTACTGGCTATCAAAACCGCATTAGAAGAATGGAGGTACCTGCTGGAAGGTGCCTCCCATCCCATCCTGATATTCACGGACCACAAGAACCTGGAATATCTGAGGACGGCCAAACGTCTGCGCCCACGACAAGCAAGATGGGCATTGTTTTTCTCAAGGTTCCAGTTCCACATCACATACAGGCCGGCTCGAAAAACACGAAGCCTGACACGTTGTCGCGCATGTACGAGGACACAAGGAGATCCCAGTACCCGACACTATTCTTCCTGCAGGAAATTTCTTGGCCCTCCAGACGAACCTTCGTTCCGAGATCCTGAGAGCGTCCACAGCGATGTCTACCTCCGATGGGGCGCCCCTCCTGAACAAGGAGGGACTCCTATGGAGGGAGGACCGGATTGTGGTGCCGGAGGATGCCCGAACCTTAGTCTTGGGACATTGTCATGACCACCCAATGGCAGGACATTTTGGGCCGGTCAAGACCCTGGAACTTCTCCGACGTTCCTTCTGGTGGCCGGACATGGCCAAGGATTGTAAGAATTACGTGGGCTCCTGTGCCATCTGCCAGCGGAACAAGCCTTCAAGAAATAAGGCGTGGGGCCTGCTACGTTACCCATCCCTGAACGGCCCTGGCAGAAAAATCTCTATGGACTTCATAGTCGAGCTTCCACCTTCACTGGACCCACACAGCAATTCTTGTGGTCATGGACCGCTTATCCAAGATGGCCCATTTCATTCCTTTACGGAAGACTCCATCAGCAGCCGAGACGGCGCAAGTCTTTATTCGAGAGATCGTTAGACTGCATGGGGTTCCCGAAGACATCGTCTCGGACCGAGGGGTGCAGTTTACCTCGCGGTTTTGGAGGGCGTTGTGCAAAGCCCTGGATATCAAGCTGTCCCTTTCCTCGGCATTTCACCCTCAGACCAATGGTCAGACCGAAAGGACCAATCAGACCCTGGAGCAATACCTGCGATGCTACACATCATTCTCTCAGGACGACTGGGGTGCCACTTCTCCCTTTGGCGGAATTCGCGTACAACAACGCTTGCCATTCAGCAACTGGGCAGTCCCCGTTCTTCTCCAACTATGGGTTTCATCCTGTCTTCCTCCCGGACTTAGTCCCGGAATGCCCGATTCCAGCGACACAGGATGCACTGACCTTCTTCACTTCCAACAATAAAAAACTACAGGGAGCCATCCGTCAAGCCCAAGAAGACTACAAGAGGGCTTTTAATAGGAAGCGAAGAGGGGACCTGGTGTTGCAGCCCGGAGAGAAGGTTTGGCTGGCTACGTCAAACTTGAAGATGCTCTGCCCGTCAAAAAAGTTGGGACCTAAATTTATAGGCCCTTTTTGCATCAAACGGATGGTCAATGAAGTGGCCTATGAACTTGTTCTCCCTGAGACACTCAAGATCCACCCTGTCTTCCACGTGTCCCTGTTGAAACCAGTAGTCCCTGATGCCTTCCCGGAACGGGAATCCAGGCCCCCGGATGGCCGTAACGGTTGAAGAGGAAGAAGAATTCGAGGTGGAGGCAATCCTGAAGTGCCGACGAAGGGGGGGGCCAGACCCAATTTCTCATCAAGTGGAAGGGCTACGGCCCTGAGGACAATTCGTGGGAACCAGCCCATAATGTCCATGCACCTAGACTTGTCCGGAGGTTTTCTTTGTGATCACCCGTGGTGGAGAGATCGGGTGGGCATCCGGAGGTTGCCCGTAGGGGGGGGAGGCAATGTCAGGGATCTCCTCGATCCCTGCCGCGATGGTCCCGGCGCAGGCGCACTGCTCCGCCCTGTACACGGGCACTAGGTCCGGGCCGGCCGCGGCGTTCGAGTTCGCGCATGTGCAGTAGAAGCCGCGGCCGCCCGCTGGGCACCAATGGCAGCGCAGGGCGGGATATTTAAAGGTCCCTGAGCTGTCATTTCGTTGCCTTCTGGTCTTACCTGCTTCCTGTGATTCTGTACCTGTGCCTAGTAAGTTTATTGACCCGGATTGTTTCTTGACCTGCTGATTTCTCCTGCCCAGACCCACCCTTGCTTGCCTGACCTTTCTCCCTGGATGCCCCTCATTAGATCTGACCTCCTGTTGCTGTGACCTGGCGTGTGACCCGACGATTCTCTGCCTGCTCTCCCCTGTACCCTACCGTCCTCTACGTTACCGACTCGGCCTGTCTGACTACGCACTTGCTCAGCCATCCATCCATCCATCCCATCGGGGTCACCCGACCTCCTCACATCTGGCTCTCCCTGGTTGGAGCCCCTGGCGAACACCCCTACCAATGACAGGTGTGCTCAGTAGAGGCGACCTGGTCTCGGGGTACTACAAGTCCATCCCCACCATCAGGGGCCCTGGTGAACACAAGTACCCTGGGGCTTAGACTCCGCGCTCTGGGCACGCCTGACCAGTGGAGTGCTAGTGGTGCCGCTCGGCGGTCCCTCACACTTACTATATGGAAAATAAAAAGGAATATGTTTTTTGCCTTATTATTTACCTTAAATCACATTGCTAACTGCATATTGTACTTGTTTGTAGCCTAAATACTGAAATTTGAACTTAAAATTGTAATTTTTAATTTTGGAAATGCCAGTAAAAAATTGGCTGTGCCAGTAAATGTTGGGTGTCATGTCAATGAATTTCAATCTGGTAGATTGGCAACACTGTTAGAGGGTTTGGGTTGTGCAAAGGTGACGGCTGTAGAGGGTGGGGTGCTGGGTGCACTTGTGAGAGCTGTGAATGAGGGAAAGGGGGGAGGAGGGGTGGGTAGCTGTGGATGAAGAGGGAATGTACAGATGAAAACTGAGCATGTGTGGGGGTGGTTGGGGGGAGGGGGGGAGGTGAGAAATGTGGATGGGGGGGGGGGGGGGTGCACAGGTGAGAGCTTGGGAAGTTTGGGAAAGTTGAGTGGACAGGTTTGTACTGGGGAACATGGAGATGGGGGGGAAAGCTTTGTAGTAGGAAGACCTCTGAACAGTTGAGGGAAGGACTTTGTACTCAGACGGGGGGGTTGACAAGGAAGGTAAGTTTTGGTTGTACACTGACTTGTACTGTATGTTACCCACTCCTGAACCCTGCACATCATACACTGCTGAACCCTGCAAATCATACACTCCTGTACCCTGCACATCATACACTCCTGAACCCTGCACATCATACATTCCTGAACCCTGCACATCATACACTCCTGAACCCTGCACATCATACACTGCTGAACCCTGCAAATCATACACTCCCGTACAACATACACTCCTGAACCCTGCACATCATACACTGCTGAACCCTGCACATCATACAATCTTGAACCCTGCACATCGTACAATCCTGAACCCTGCACATCATACACTGCTGAACCCTGCACATCATACACTCCTGAACCCTGCACATCATACACTCCTGAACCCTGCACATCATACACTCCTGAACCCTGCACATCATACACTCCTGAACACTGCACATCATACACTCCTGAACCCTGCACATCATACACTGCTGAACACTGCACATCATACACTCCTGAACCCTGCACATCATACACTGCTGAACCCTGCACATCATACAATCCTGAACCCTGCACATCATACACTGCTGAACCCTGCACATTATACAATCCTGAACGCTGCACATCATACACTCCTGAACCCTGCACATCATACACTCCTGAACCCTGCACATCATACACACCTGAACCCTGCACATCATACACTCCTGAACCCTGCACATCATACACCCCTGAACCCTGCACATCATACACTGCTGAACCCTGCAATCATACACTCCTGAACCCTGCACATCATACACTGCTGAACCCTGCACATCATACACTGCTGAACCCTGCACATCATACACTCCTGAATCCTGCACATCATACACTCCTGAACCCTGCACATCATACACTCCTGAACCCTGCACATCATACACTGCTGAACCCTGCACATCATACACTGCTGAAACCTGCACATCATACACTGCTGAACCCTGCACATCATATACTCCTGAACCCTGCACATCATACACTGCTGAAACCTGCACATCATACACTGCTGAACCCTGCACATCATACACTGCTGAACCCTGCACATCATACACTGCTGAAACCTGCACATCATACACACCTGAACCCTGCTCATCTTACACTCCTGAACCCTGCACATCATACACTCCTGAACCCTGCACATCATACACTCCTGAACCTTGCACATCATACACTGCTGAACCCTGCACATCAAACACTCCTGAACCCTGCAAATCATACACTCCTGAACCCTGAACAATGAACAGTTTTGAGTCCTGCATGATACAGTACATGCTACAGAGCCCTGCGCAATACACACTCCTGAGCCTTGCTTCCCACAATGTATGCATTGCAAAGCCCTTTGCAATATGCACTTCTGAGCTCTGCTCCTTGCACAATATGCCCTCCCGAACCATCCTCAGACTGACACCATTGGTGCAGGGACACTTTTTCCCAAAAGACCCTGATGCAGAGACATGTTTTCTTTTAGCAACACCACTAACACAAGGGCATTTTCTTCTTTCCAGTGATAGTCCCCATACAGGAGCATTTTCTTCCTTCCAGTGATAGGCCCCGCACAGGGATATTTTTTCATTCCAGTGACACAACAGACGCAGAGACATTTCTTTTTCTTTCCAATGACACCACTCATATAGGAACATTTTTTCTTCCAGTGACACCACAAACACATGGCCATTTTCCTTCTAATAACACCACAGCTGCATAGCCATTTTTTCTTTTCTGTGACACCACTGACACAGAGACATTTTTTTATTTCAGTGACACCAATGATGCAGGACCTGTTTTCCATCCAGTCACACCACCAATGCAAGGGCATTTTTTTTTTTTCATTCCAGTGACACCACAGACGCAGGGACTTTTTTCCTTTCCATGACACCAACAATACTGGGACATTTATTCTTTTCAGTGACACCACTGACGCAGGGATTTTTTTTCCTTACAGTCACACCACCAGTGCAGGGATATTTTTTCATTTAATTGACACCACAGACCCAGGAAAATTTTTCTTCCAGTGATACCTTCAGTAGTGAGACATTTGTCTTTCAGTGACACCACTGACTTTGCCACTGTTAGCCACATATTTGTGCACCAACACAACATCAGTTTAGTGCAGTGTACAGCAAACATTTTGGCACATAGCTATTCACCCTGTCTCCTTGTCCTTCTCTGCCCAGGGGGTTGGGGGTGAAGTTTCCTCTTCGCCCTGGGCACTGGATGTCCTTATCCCAGCATTGGCAGGAAGTGCAGAGGAAACCCGTGAAGGAGGGGTTCATTGGTGAACACTGGATGGCTACTAGGGGGGAGGGCTACTTGAGTGAGGATTTAAGATAGGGGAGGAATAGGGAAACAAACCTGGGGGGGACAGCAGAACATAAAGAGTAAATGTAGATTTTCATAAGCTTTACAGTATATATTGAAAAGGAAACTGACCACAAGGGCTGCATATCATTAACTGCTTGACACTCTAAAATTGCATTTTCTACATGAACCTTCTGTAAGACCTTTTTGTTACTCTGCAGCAGGTAGAAAGGACTGAATCAGTATATGGAGGCCGTTGGGATGAGAAGAAAGTGCTCTTAAAGTGTTAACTAAACTAAACCCAGGACCCTGCATTCACTATATCTGGTCTCCCACAGTACACAGTACATGGAAATGCAATTATTTTAGTAAATATAAACCTGCTAAATACTTTTTCCCATAAGCAGTTAGAGTTGTGACTTCTATCAGTGTTCAGCAGAGCACTGGTTTAAGCTTGTAGGAGGAGTTTTCTTTCAGCTCTAGGAGGACGCAGCAGAACCCCTGACCCTCTGTCTGACCAGTGCTGATTGACCGTGTTCATCCTAAGGAGGCCCTGTAAGTCCAGCAGATCGGTTGATGACACCTCTCCCTGGGGGATAACAACATCTGTAGGATTTGATATATACATGCGCATTTCGTATGCGCGGTCGGTGAGTACGCATTTCTGCCATTTTCCCGGATCACTCAAAGTTGTGTCCACCACATTCACGGACCGATTGCATTATCTATGAATTTATTGATCAAACTTTTTATATCGAATTCTATACTTGGTTTTTTAGCGCTGCACTTTATTTTATTACTGATTGACCGTGTGCTGATCACATGCACTCTTCCAAGCAAAAAAAAAAACCTCTCAAGCAATACACACGAAACTGAGCATGTGCAGAGTGTCTCCACATGATATGTCTAAGCAGGAGACACTGGAAGAATGGGAGGATCAGAGGAGTCAGAATCAAGCAGCATTTTTAAACAATGCAGAGGATTAACCCATTAGGTTCCACAGTGAGTATAACAATCATGCTTTACTGCATATAGAGAATGATTTTACTGTTGTGGGTTTAGTAACACTTTAACAATGGCTTTGTTTCAGCATGCCAATGTATGTCATGTTTTCCAATCATTGGTTCTGATTTGAAATAAAACATCACAGTAACTTTTCCTTAAAGTGGTTGTAAACCCTCAACTTGTAAAACAACCCATTTAGTTTAAAATAGAAATGAAAGGCAAAACTTTGTGTATAGTTATAAAACAATATAAATACATTTTTTCCCTGTTTTCTCAGTGATCACAAATTCTCTAAGCTCCTTATGCAGCTGAGAATTTTAAAGGAACAGGCAATGTGGCACCTCGAGTCACTGCACTTTACAGTATGAAGTAAAACATGACAAAAGGGAGCAATAGCATTTATAGAGCTACTGAAACACATAGTAAAGGATGTATTGTGCTATAATGGCTCAATACATAGAATTACTAAGTACACTGATTGTTTTGCAGTGCATTTGAGTGAATATTGCCTGCAGCAATCAGGCAGTGATGTGTTTCACTTGTTCCTATCAATAAATGATGGCAGTGTGCTTAGCTAGGGTATGTTATAGGGTATTTATATTTTAGGAAAGAGATGAAGTAAGCCTCAGGCAGTCATTTGTCATAGGTTGCAGATAAGACCCAGTATTATTACAGAATCACTGGTACTGGCAGTGAAAGTGATGGTGATGGTTGCCCAATGACTCATTGTAGGGGCAGTGGGTTACTTTAGGCTAATTGCACCCCTAGTTTAAATCAGCTAAATGGCGGACGTAGCTTGGCACGTGGAGCGATAGGCAGGAACCCTGCACAGCTCCTGGCCCGAACCTCCATGCAGGCTCCCTCTCTCCCTCACGGGCTCTCCCTTGCCCTCCCCATGGGTAAAAAATCAACACCGGACCCCCCGGAGAGCAACAGGGGGGCGGTCCGGTGGTGACATGAGCCGGTTCCTGACCCGATCCTCGGCCGAGGTCTCAGCCACCCCAGCCTCCAAGATGGCGCCCACACCTCTCCCCTCCTCATCCCCTGTGGATGCAGGACTCCGTGAAGAAGGGCAGATAAGCCCTCGGGGCTCTCTCCTCCTGGGAATCCTGTTCTGCAACCACAGGGCACACAGAGGTCTCGCAGCCGCTTTCCAGCATCTCTCTGCTCTGAGGATGGCTGGGATCTGCAGTCCCACATGCATGCACACTTTATGTGAAACGTATTGAAAGCACATACAAAAAAGAAATTTCTCATCTTAAACAAGACAAGACATTTGATTGAAAATACAGCTGATTATTTGTATAACTCTTTACAAATGGGAGACCCTTAACTAATACAACAGCTCATGTACCAACAAGATGACACTGAGAACAGGAACCGCCGTATCAATATCCGGATCAGGGGCATACCAGAATACATTGAATCTAAAGATATAGCCGCATGGTTACCGTCATCTTCAATCAACTACTACAGCAGCCTAAAGACACCTATATTGAGTTGAACCACATACATCGTACGATGGGCCCCAGGAATCCTGATCCATCTTTTGTCCGTGATACCCTGTGCAGGGTCCACTACTTTAAGGTCAAGGACGCCATTATGCGTGCGGCTAGCATGCAAGACAGCATTCTATTCAATGAAGTGCCGGTGATGCTCCTCCCTGACCTTTCCCGCCAGACTCTGGCTATGCGCAGGGCTATGCGTCCTCTCACTCAGATGTTGCAGGAGAGGAATATCTGTTACCAGTGCCAGTTCCCATTTCAACGTAACGCCTCACAGAACGGTAAATCTGCTCAATTCCACACCCTTGGGGTCTACATTTCTCAGTGTGTTCGAGCTACCTCTAGTGTCCCTCACGGACTGGCCCTTCCAACTCCTGACCCCTGGCCTTCCATTTCCCTCTTCCTGGCAGCGGTCCGGTTGGAAGAAGAAGAAATGTTCCAGATCCTCCTCCTAAAAGATCCCAGAGGGATGATCCCCTATCTGTGTGAATTGGGAATTTCCTCCCTTTCTCCCTCTTCCTACAGTTTTTACACATTCTGTTGGTTACTCAGGTTACCTGAGGCTAATCCCTGGGTTCCGCCACCGCCATTTGCTGTGACGGCAGGGACGCCTTCAACCCGAGTCTCAGGGGCTTTGGACCCTTCCACTATTTGTTTCATTCACACCCTGTCGTTTCTGGGTTATGTTTATGTTGATTTGTTGGGGGCAGGGGCTTGTTTTCTCATGCTTGTTTGAGGGTTTATTGAATAAGTTTTGTAGGGGGGGTCGTCCTAATCTGAGGGTGACCTTCCTCGAGTTATCATTTGCCTGCGGCAGGCCTGGGTCGGGATCGGATACATGCTCCACCTAGGCCTTCGGTGTACTGAGTAGTATCACAGTATATGTTATTTTGACAGTTCGCCTGTCTATTAGTTTCTCCTTCTCACTTCTCTTGTTTTTCTGCTCTTCCTTTCTTGGCTTTTTATCCTTTTCTCATTCGTTCATTATTTAATCCTCTTCTTTTCTTCCCTCTTATTGATTTTTTTTTCTCTCTCTCTTTTTCCCTCAGGGGTTGGGGGTGGCTTGGCGGAGCAGTATTGGTGACACACTTTTTTCCTATTTTCTCTGCCACAGACAAATATGACTCCGATTACATTTTCCTCTATTAATTGTAGAGGCTTTAACACTCCTGAGAAGCGGAACCAGATGCTCTACCATTTCCATAAACATTGTTCGCAGATCTTGCTCCTCCAGGAGACTCATTTTCGCTCTGATGGTATCCCAGTCCTCCACAATCATCACTATACTGAGTGGTATCATAGTAGTAATCCGCAGGCGAGGTCTAGGGGGATGTCGGTGGCCTTTCATCATACATTTGCCCGAAGGTCTTGGACTCCCTAGTTGATCCAACTGGTCGCTACCTTTTCCTCAAATTGAAATACCAAGATTTTG